TTAAGTGTTCAATTTAAATCATGTGTCCCAAAAAATATTTAAATTATGGATTAAAGAATTCTCTAAGCTTAATAGCAAATATCCATTTGCAACTGCTTCCATAATGGGATAGATTATGATTTTTCACAGATGAACAATTTAAAGAAAGAACAAAGCGTAGAACAAAGCAAACTTAATAATATTGTTGAAATAATAATTTTTTATTCCATTGTTCTGTGGATTTCAGATGATGAGTGATGCGCAGATAATCAGTCATGTGATAGAAATTTTGAAATCAAAACAGTTTGATATTCGAGAACTAATTTCTTTTCGTATAAAGTTCATACAATGCGCTGTGAAATTGGGTGTCTTAAGTGAGTGTTTTAATAAAATTATAAATAAATATTAAATATTTTGTTAATATACTTAAGTAGATACTATAATAAAACTATATTATCTCTCTCGGAGAAAGCTATTTATTAAAAATTCATACTGTAGTAACACTTTTTCGGAAAGCAATTCCTCGGGAATGATGCACATACTATTTTCCGCAACTGTGTTATCAGAAACCTATAGTTAATTCATCATATATTACAGAGGGCCTCACACCTGAGATACTTGTCTGTATAGCGCAAAAGAACCATCTTGTAAGTACGTATATTTAAAACAGAGAGAGAATTAAATTCCATAAACAAAATTTGTTTAAATCGAGTATATATTTACACTATATCAAAATAATATATGTGGAGAGTGTAAAAATTAAAAGATGCATTAAATTAATTATCACACGGCATCTATTTAAATACAAATGTTTTGACTTTGTTTATTTAATTATGTACCTTTCAATTCTAGATCGATGAAGAGGGTGGACTAATATGGGATAAAGTTCGGATGTACATTACGAAACTCATTCGTAACCCGAAGAAGCTAGATGACATCAATGAGATTTGCAAAAGGTGCAAAGAAGAAGGTGATCAATTTCAATAATCATATTCATATATGTACAGTATGCGTGTGCCCGTGTGTATGATTGTATACAGGTTGCTTGGTAATTACCGTCTCTACCGTAGACAAGAACACAAAGTCCTACCATTCTGTGATTTTTCGCAATAAATAATGAGAAATTAATTAATAAAGATCTGCGAATCGGAGTGCGTCCGCGTGAAAAGAGATAGCCCAGTGTTTGTGCTGTTACGCGCAATGAGGCTTGGAAGAAGCGCTTTGTAAACGACAATGGCTACGTATCAATACAGCGTATCAATTAGACTGGACATCCGTATCGCTCATGTATAGCTGTTATTGCTTACATAGCGTATAGCAGCCGTAAAGATTATCTGATTTTGCTAAACCGTGCCAACATACTCTAAATCAATATTAATTAATTTCTCATTAATTGTTGAGGAACTTACAAAACAGTAAAAGCCATTTCTATTCAGTTTAATCCGCTCTATTTGCCCATAAATGGTTCGGTAATTACCAAACATCCTGTATGTACGACACACACACGTACGCGCACGCTTGTTACACATTGTGATACATTAATTTATAGTGTTACAAAACAAAATTTTAATATTCTCTGTTTTGCAGGCGATAAAGTCGAAGGAACCAAGTATGAGAAAACCTTGAAATCCATGGAATGCGGGGTGCCAACAATTCGATATATTTTACAACAAATCTGATAGTATTCTGAAATATTATAGTTTAAAAATTGTTTTTACACAAAATATAGAATAGTATATAAAAGTCACATATCACATAAAATGTTTGAATTTCCCTATCATTTTCTTCTTGGCTATAAATACAGATTCTTGAGATACAGATTTCTGAAATTTAAATATCCATAGAAATATATACTGATGATGGTAGAGAGTTTTTATTATTGGATATTTTCTTGAAGTGTTCATAGATTAAAATTTGTTTAAACATGTTAAAATATTTTAAATTGTTTTAAACAAGTGAAAATTCTATTCGGTACTTCGAAATATAAAAAATGGATTGTTCTTAACTTTAATAAAGTAAAGAGATTATATTAAATAGTTGTAAAAAGTATTGCAACTTAATCGCATTTTCTTTTTTACATTAATTAAATTTACACCGTTTTATTGTTCTCAGGATAAAAAATTAGAAGAGGAATAAAAATTAAGTAATTTTTATAAATGCTCTTCTAATCAAAATCAAAATAGTATTTATTTTTTAAATCATTATTCAACTGTCAAATCAAAATGACAAATCCATATGAATGAAAATTAATTGTAAAATACGCGCATGAGGTACAATCTTTTTCTATCAAATATCGAACGTGAAATATTAATCGCGTTATTAAAAGAGTCAGAATGATCCGATGAAAATACAATGCTACGTATTCAACGATTTCTTACTTAATTTTTTTGTAATGAAGTAATTAAAAATTATAGACCGGAATTATAATGCATCTACCTGGAAAATATATCGAAATAGAAGAACTAGGACGAAAGTATCGCAGAATTTTTGCAAGCTAGATAAATACTGATAATACGCCACTAATTTTCTCCGTTTAGTATTGCCACATGTTGCTTATTTATTATATCATTTAACTTCACTGATTTCTAACATTAGGAGGCCAATTAATTTAAGTGCCTCTTGAATCATTAAAGGATGAAGCCCTAAGAGTCTAGACAAGCCGCATTCACGTCGGTCGTACATCGCCCCGTCTAAAGCAATTAGAAGACATGTTGTTCGCGATTATTTATAAAACAAAGTTATGAGCTAAGTGACATAACTGGGCCGTTTCAGGTTAAAACGCCATCGCAATAATTGTCGAAAGTTTTAGTAACATCGTAAAGAGGCGATAAAAATAGTAAAAGAAACGATAATTATTTATTGCGTAATGCATTCAATTAATATGGTAATGTAAATATCGAGATACAAAATGATATACAGAATTCAAAAAGGTAGATAAATTAGAGCAGAGATCTTAACAGTATTTCATATTCTTCAAATTTGTGTACCTATCTTTCGTGCAACAAAATTTATAATATCAAAAATTAATATAAAATACAAGTTGTGTTTTACGTGAAATTTACTGTCGGGATTTGAGATGAGTCCGGTGATTGACGAGCAATTTACTCGAAAACACGTGTGCGGTAAAGCCCTTGTGACGTCAGCTTTAATAATGCGAAACATTCTTCGTGAGAAATATTTTGTATTAAAACTACACCCACATGGCATGTGTAAAACCTTTGTAATCAGAACCTGAAAGCATCAAGTACTTTCAAAGAATTTCCTACGAATAAATTGCGCAATAATTTTTCTATTCTTTTTATCCGCGTTTATTAAAAAATTTTATTAAGAGGATAACAAACCATCAAAAAATACGTTCATATTATCGTGCAACAAGGTAGAGAGGAATATTCCTCGCACGTCGACATTAAATAAATTGCTCAGAGAAGATCAAGTCGTGATAAATATCACCTCTCTCTCTCTCTCTCTCTCTCTATTTTTCACGCGTTAATCCGTAGATTAGCATATGTATGAAAGCTTCATTTATCTAGAAACTGCGCGTTTTACGACGGTCCCTTCAAAGATCGGCTTTCAGCCTCGGCGGCACGTTGTTTTCGGCGTGATACCTTTTACGAGGGTCGCCTCTTTATGGTTACACCTCATCACCCGGATATTGCGCTCCTGTTGCGCGCCGCAGCAAGGAAAAAAATTTACGGAATTTAGTTTAAAATTCGAACGGAACGTGGAGCGGGGCTAAAAGACTCCATGCGAAATGCTTAGTAAAAGTTGAAAGAGAATCGCAATCGGTCTATTCTTTTCTTTTTTAATTGCGTTTTACGAAATTTATACACGAACCGAAATGTTTGCAATTTAATTTTCGCACGCTAGTAATGCACACAAGAGCATCAATTACTAATCTGTCTTATATTTTAGATATTACCGAGTCAAGTTTGCATCCACGGTTTACATAAAAGCAGGCATTCTGACCAAAATCTTGTACATACACCAATGCCCACTAATGTCCAGTTACTTTATCTTATTTTATCTTATTTTATTTGTATAATACCCCCAGCAAGGCCTAATGCCTAAAAAAATGCCTAGCAACGCCTAGTAATGGCCCAGGAATGCCACAAATCTGTACACCACAATGCCCTCAGCGGTTTCCCCCTCGTTCGAAATTTATAAAAGATCCGGTTGATGAATAACGTTTACATAGGAACAAGCGTTCTAGGCATTCCACGGCAAAACGTGCCACCGAATTCGATGCACTCGGTCAAACTGTTATGCATATTGTCGCGTGTGTGTACGAGAATAATGTGCAAAATGTCTCTAGATAGAGAAGACAAAGAGGACTCGTCCCTCTTCAGAGATCTAAAACTGATTCGGCGAAAGAAGCCGCAGGAAAGCGGCGGCGGCGGCGACGACGACTGGGTGGCGGTTGGCGCGGCGGCTGACGCACCATGAACTTTAGTGGCTATATCGATTGTATGTGCACCGCGGAGCCAACCCCAGCAGACACCTTCTGGCCTGCTGCCGCCCTTGACACCCGTTCCCAGACGACGTGGCTCCTACGCTCGAGCGCAATGCCAACGAAAGAGAGAGAGGGCCGTGCGTTCGAGGGACGGGGATGGTGGAAGGATATGCGTCAACATGCGGCGAGACGCGCGCGTTCTCGAAGACTGCAGTCGAATGCGGATCTATTCGAGAGAAAGCGAGAGAAAAGGAGAGAGAGAGAGAGGGGGGAGAGAGAGAGAGAGAAAGGAATCTTATCTGCTTTAGGTATTTTCTCGCCTAAGTTCGTTGATTTTAAGGGAAACCTCACCGCGGCTTCTACAACACAAAAGAGAAGAGACTTCGAAGGAAAACAAAGTTTTAAATAAGAATACTTTTCCTTTGAGATGCAACTAGGTACTGTATATGCGAAAGTGTTTGAATCACTCAAGAATTTCGCTACCTGAACGATATATCTTTTCTCAACTTCTAATTAAATTTTATTTATCACATACGTATAACATCTCTGTTAACTGTGGAATATTTTGCAAGAAGGTGTCTCTTTCTTTCTATTAAGGCTGCTCTGAAATACGCAGAGAGCAAGCCCGACGTAAAAAAGTAAGGGCAGGAGTAAGAAAATTCATCAATTTTACTTCTGCTCCAGCTCTTACGCTTAACTCTCGGCGAATCGGAGTGCGGTCGGCCAGTGCTACGAACATTTTGAAAATTATGCCTCTATTTTAGCTGCCTCACACCTAAAGGCAAAGATTACGGCTCTCTTACGCCTACTCTTACTCTTTACTGGCTTACTCCGTGTATTGCACACCAGCCCTTAAACCTCGGACATGCCTACTCTTCTGCAATATCGAAAATATTGAATAAAAGAAATCACTGAACGTACACGACTTTGAGATTTATACGTACGTCGCTTTATAATTTGAATTGTATGTCCCTTTGTCATAATGGGCACAAGAGAATAATATATTTATGAAATGCATTTCGTCAATACAACACACTAAAGAGAAACAAAGAGAGAGAGAGAGGGGGGAGAGAGAGAGAGAGAGAGAGAGAGAGAGAATCCATTATAATTTCATTTTTTCCCTGGCAAAGGTACGACGTGGCATTGTCTAAACGTGGGTGCGCAAACACGCGCGTCGAAATAATAAGGCCCCGTGCCGCTTAACAAAAATAAAATCTCGGAAACTTGTTCAGCAGGTCTAGAGCGAACCGTCGCTCGTAGTGCGTGCGGCGTGAAATTTACACGGGCGGGCGGCACATTTTTCACGATCGTATAGCTCGCGCGTGACAGTGCACGGCGTGTACGTACGTACTTGGATTTTAATACATTGTGAGACGCGCGTTTAAGCCGCGCCCGCGCTGGATCTACGTGTTGCAAACCGCGAGGCATGAACCGTAAACGTTTTACGCTGTTTTCTTTTCGACCCTTCCGCGTTTAATCAGTCGTAGCAATGTAGCTCCGGCGTGAAGGGAACGTATATTAAATTGATTAAAATTGAAATAAATGCCAAAATTGATCGAGAAAAGTCGACGGGAAACGTGACAACGCGTCGTATATTTCCCACAAGAGGGATAAATCGACAAACGCGTTTTCGCGAGCACGTTCGTGGAAAAGTACGACAGGTAACGTGAAAACAATGCAGGCGTATCACAGAGATTCGATGCGAAGGTAATTTTTCGATACAACGAATATCCGTGCATCTCATTTAAGGTAGTTGTTTCGCGACAGTAATGCTCAAAAGTTTCTTCCAGACAGGAACCAGCACTCAATTATTACAATGATATATCTTGATGAAATATTGTTCTAAACAATACACCTACGATTAATGCCTAATGTAAAATAGATTCGAAAGATTATAGTTTGAGTCGCTGCTGCCACATTTCTTACCCTACATGTCTACTACATAATTCTTCCCATTTTTCAGCTTTAACTGTTTATATTGTTGAAACGGAACGGTCAATAATTTTGATTTTTTTTCCAATTATTCGTTCTATTTTACTCTATAACATATTTGTTTCTCATACGAATCTCGCTCACCGTTAAGCTTGAAAAAAATAACATGTGCCATCATTTGCGTTTGCAAACGCAAATATTAATATTTTAACACAAAATAATATGTGTAAATAATATTTCACGTGTAATAATATTGCAACGAATCACATTGTTACGTGTAATAATATTTTTAACGTGTATTTTTACACGTAATATATAGTGTATAACATTTTTTCAGGACTTTG